AGCCACGCAAGGCTGCGGTGCTCGCCCGCACTGGAGGTGAACCAGGCACAGCCACTGGTACCGTGCGGAGTTCTGCGAGCACCAAACACGCTGGAGCACCTCGTCGGAAGCCCGGTCGCACGGCAGCGACTGCGGGGTGCCCAGGTGCCACAGCGGCCATTTTGATGCAGTTTGTCTGCTGCCGGGTCGGGTCCATCCAGCAGCTCGCCTTTGCGGGCACGCAGCTTCCTAGAACGGGGCCCGTCAGAGTTTCACTGTACGAGCCCTGGTCTTTGTACGGTGAGGAAACCAGTGAGTTCGTACTGTCCTACAGCGAGCCGCTGCTGCTGTCAGACGGAAAGCACTCGTGTTTGCTTTGACAACGCTTCTAAACCCCTGCTGCCTACACAGAGGACAGGCTAGCTTCCCAGAAAACACAGGACGCGAGGCAGGAAGTGTCGGCTAAAACCCCAGACTAAAAAGTTTGCAGCAGAAGGATAAACTGGTACTGCCAAAATATGCAAGCATAAAGATGTCTCTATGAAATATTAAATACCACTTAACACCTTAAGACAGGTTTGTACTAACTCATCACGAAATACCCTGCGTTGGAAGGGACCCACAAGGATCAAGTCCACTGCTGATTCCACACAGGGCAAGATCAGAGTAAAACCCTATCTCCAACAGCGTTGTCCAAACACTGCTGGAACTCCAGCAGGCTTGAGGCCATGACCACTTCCCCCGGGAACTTGTTTCAGTGCTCAACCATCCTCCCGGTGAAAAACTTCTTCCTGATAACCAATCTGAACTTCCCCTGACACAGCATTAAGCCATACCTTTACGTCCTTGTTGTGAATGAGTGGTTAGGTTGCCTAAAGCATCACCATCAAAGGTGCTTGCAAAAAATTATTTTAATGGAAATTTATAAAATATTATTTAACAAAGTTCATTGGCAAGGTTCACTCGGTTACTTATTAAATGAATGGAATACGAAATTGAGATAGAATTAAAATAAAATGATTTATGCAGAGACTGAAGAAAGTTAGAAGGGATAAGGGAGACCCTAACCCGTTGAGCCACAAGGCTCGGAATGGACCCGCTGGCTTTCTCAGCTCCTTCTCAGAGAGGAGCTTAGGTGCGGCTGGATCCAGACTTCACCCTAGACTGCAGCAGTTTATGTTTAAAGCATATGTCTGGCAGCAGTTTAAGGTTGGTTCACAGTTGGAGAGAGAGAATCACAGAACTTCAGAGTTCAAGGGCTCCAAGAGGCATCCCACTCAGAGGGAGACACTGGGTGCAGCCCGCAGTGGTCCAGAAGAGCTCAGAATCAGAATCACAGAATCACAGAATAGTAGGGGTTGGAAGGGACCTCTGTGGGTCATCTAGTCCAACCCTCCTGCCGAAGCAGGGTCACCTACAGCAGGCTGCACAGGACCTTGTCCAGGCAGGTCTTGAACATCTCCAGAGAAGGAGACTCCACAACCTCCCTGGGCAGCCTGTTCCAGTGCTCTGTCACCCTCAGAGGGAAGAAGTTCTTCCTCATGTTCAGACAGAACTTCCTGTGCCTCAGTTTGTGCCCATTGCCCCTTGTCCTGTC